TTAGAGTTTTTTCCCAAGAGACAAAAAATCCCTTTTTCAGGTAATTCAGGGGAACAGTGCACTTAACTAAAAAAGACGTTTTTGTCACAAACACTCGTGCAGGTGCCTGTCAGTTGCTGTCAGTGCTGTATTTGTATCTGTATCCCCATACATTTCGTCTACGGTATTTCTACACCGTTAAGAACGCTGAAATGTACCCAGATCTAGAATACTTGTTTTGAGCTTACATGTTTGTTAATTTTCAATCGTCACTACAAGTTGTTTTCACAAAAGAGATCTTATCCACACTGATCTGTAAGAAAGAATTTTCAAGTATTTTTTCATAATGGAAACTACTCACAAGGTTGCTGAAAACTCTTCGACAGCCCACGACCGGTTTCGGTTTTCTTGGGCTGTCGAACAGTTTTCAGCAACCCTGTGAGCAGTTTCTTTTATGAAAATATACTGCGATATCTCGAATATCGTACCAGCTGAAACATGGGGCAGCCTGTAAGCAGCACATTCAGTTGTAGAATACCATAAACGAGAGATTCATTTGAGTCTCGTGAAAACCAAAATGATTTGCAAATGAGTGTATTATTCGAGAATTTTAGGGGTTTAAAAACTATACTGTGGTTATGGTTTGGGTTCTACTGAAATGCGTTACGCGTTAGCCATTGTTTTTCAAGTTTCCTCTTATTGATTTCGGTGCCCATCGTCCCCTCTGTTCTCAATGAAAATGTCTGAATCTTAAGGGGGCAAGAAAAACTTGATGGAAGTTTGGTGTCAATAATCCGTGCTGTCACGGATTGTTTTATCAGTCAACTAAATGATTATTAGATGGCTAGACATCTTCATGCCTCATATTAAAGGAATGAACACAATCGTTTAGTCAGAATACCATGCCAAATAGTTGTTCGAAATTGCTGTCGCTATGGTTTCCAACCCTGAAAGCCAAATGTACAACGGTGACTCCAAAGGTACTCAGTATTCACACAAGGAAATTGAATTTTCAAAAGCTACAACGCATCCCTGATGGACTAAAACATACAGGCATTTGGGTGCCAGTCCAAGCCTTTGAGTCCCATCCAGGAATCCCGGGGTCTCAGCAATGCTAGGAAAGCATTCCACTAGAGTTTTATGCCATATTTATGTTTTCTCCAGCGAACAATGAAGTTTGATGACCTGCAAAAATATGAGAGTAGATTGGAATGGATTGTAATTTGAGCACACAGGCGACGAAATGCAACATTTTGGCGCAAAAAAGTTTCATTCCACCTGCGAAGGTTTTGCAGCTAAGAACATTGTGCGGCTAATGGGCCCCAAATCCAAGGTGGATAACTTTTGAAAACCGTTGTTGCCATTGTCCTCTTAAAGTATGTACTAAACCAGAAGATTCTACCTACGTACGATATCAAGGTGAGGAAGACTACGTACAAGGATCAGACTTACAGCGGTCTGTCGCTTCTGGGAATGGCTTTCGGTGAACCAATGATTTTGATGAAAGTCAGTGGAATCTCTAAACTAGTGTGCACCTGAGTGGGTTTCATCCAATTTCGGTATGACCAGAACGTAGGACTGGAAAAACTCAGTGACTGAACCTAGGAAGATCGGCTCTGGGTTGTTGGAACGTTTATGAAAACTCAAACCATTCTCGTTTCGTGCGTGTGCTACTTATACTGATCAGCCGGTTTTCATTGTTACCCTTGATCACTCAAGACGTTCGGGGACCCAATAATCTATCAGTGACTGCTTGTGGCCTGACTGCCTGGCTGACCTACTCCTGTCCGTTAGTCAGACACTCACTCTCCAAGAAACCGACTTTGGTAATTACATAAGCTGCTATCCACTGAGGAGACGTCTCCTCATCGGGGGATTTGATCGGCTGTGGTTTTACTACAGGTTCGCTACGAGGATGTAACAAACATTTGTCTGCTCTTGAGTGCTTTGTTAACTTTGGGGCATTTCGCTTCATTTGAAGTGGAGGAATCAGAAGCTCAACGAAGTTACGTAAATTTGACTGGGAAACACGAGCCCAACCTAGCAAATCTTCACACCCCCTACCATTCTCTAACTGCTGCGTCATCCAGGACACATCGCTTATTTGGCGTCGAGGGAGATCCACACAAAAAAATGTGTATTGTAACGTATCGAGGTGAAAAAAATCATTGGGCTAGCGGAGAGTATCGATTTTTCATGTGTTGCGTCATCTTTTGTTCAGCAGTTTAGGAGATAAAACTCCTCGGTTCTGCAGGATTGGTCTTCTCGCAGGATGGAGTTGAAACGAGGACAAACTCAGTGCTTTCATACTTGTCTCTTCTTGGGTAGGAGCGTTGTACCTAATTAACACTATTAGAACTTCTGGGGACAAGACAGTTTAGTAGAACTGACGATCCTACTTTCACCGAGACTCTAAATGACTTCACTCAAAAGCGGTCTTTTTAAGAGGATCACTGAACGGTGAAAAGATACCCATCCGTCACACTCTATGGAAAATCCTGAATTAATTCCATCTAATTATTTTCACTCATGTCATGAAAATTAAGCCTCCATAACCTATTTTTTCTGACAAAGCTCCCTAAAAAGGGAAGACTGGTAGCCAGGTTACTTTGTTCACTGAACGGGATAGGGGTGATTGTGTGATTGTCAATGAGCACTATATAGACGAATTACTCTGATCTGTTGTTGTGACAACACCACAGTGACTGCGAGACATCAGACATCAGACATCAGACATAATCATAAGCTTCTCAGTCTGTGAGGGTTCCGTCAGAATGTCCGACACCTACACCTCGCCAACGAACGAAATTGGACTGTTGTTCGAACCTCAATGTTTTCGGTTGTGTCCGTAGACACAAGACAGCTCCCGTTGAATCACTGCTTCTCTACTACGACAACACTAGATAGATCAGGTAGACAGTCATCACATGAGAGTTTGAATCCTTAGTTCTAGGGACTAGTAACAATTCCGGAAACTTTACTGCTATTCAGTCTCTTTGACCACTGGGGTCCTACACACGTTGTCGCCCCCTTAAATCAACGTGTCCACACGCACGGTGTGTGGAACTTTTTTTCCGAGAACTTGTCACTCGAGAAGCCAGTCAATAAATGAACACGTGATGTGGTTCCCACTAATAAAGGCTAAACGGCGCTATGTCCTGTCTAGATGAAAGCTGATCACACTGCTGACCAGACACCCGTCGCCACTGGTCGGAAGGTTGCGGGGGAGATGCGCACTGCTGATAATTTTCACAAGGATGAAGCAGCTGCTTCTTGGATTTTCGGCGTAGATTGGCTTCAGCTAGAGAACGAAACCTCTACTGAATAAAATAAAATACTTTGGGGAGATAAATCCCCCGCGATATTTGTCACCTCCTTCGAAGTTCCACGACCATTTATTTTTCTACTCTTAGTCTTGCTAACCTACTCAAAATAGCAATAAACTGATGTCCTTTTCCCATTCAAATCGACTGCATTTAAATTCGAACCTCGGTGCAAATCAGTCAACTCCCTCCACGTGACCGTTTTCTGTCGAATACTTTCACGATGATTAACCTAGAATAGTATCGCCAAGCTGGATGTATTCGGCTTAACAGTTGGCATGCAAACAAGCACATGAAAGCCTTGCGCAAGGTTGCCGCATCTATCGAACCCTGTAAAGTGCACTTATGTTGCCAACACAAGCAGAGCTGTCACTCAACCATCGAATTCACAAGGAGTCTTTTAACCAGTGCACGTTTCACTTCAAAGAAATTGAGTTGGGGTTAAAGGACACCATGTACGTTTACCGTTGAGTTACTAGTTGGCGACAAAAAGAGCTGTCACTCAACCATCGAATTCACAACAGGTTCGCAAGTACTTTGACCTCAGAAAGGGTAGGAGTCTTTGAACCAGTGCACTTTTCACTTCAGAGAAATTGAGTTGGGATTAAATGACACCATATACGTTTAACGTTGAGTTACTAGTTGGCGACAAACGGAACGACATCCAGAACGAGTAAACAAGATGGTGCCTTTGGAAAGCTGGCCTTACTCACCAAGCCTATGTTACCCGATTTGATACTGTTAAAGAGGAAATTTGGGGGTGTTTAAGCAAGAAGTTCATAAGCTCAATGCGGCACTTTGGTCTTCTTGAGCGATCGCTCATGCCTAGGAAGACTATGCAAAGGTTGGCGACGGACTCACAAGCTGGTGATGCATTATATCCTGTCCGGAAACGGTTAGGAAGATATTACTCCACCAAGATGAAGCTTGTTGCAAGATGACATTTCAGCATAACAATAAAAAAATCAAGCCCTCACCGGCTCAGTTCAGGTTAGTTCAATTGTTCAGCTCATGAGCCATGCAGCGTATTGCGGCGCGTCCAGCTCTACAGTCTCGTCCAGTGGGGTTGGTGAGAATAACGGACTGAGAACTATGTAGTGTGGGTGACGCATCTGTGCAGAATTACAGCGACTGAAAGCTACACGGGGAAGACGGCAGCTTTGGTGCTTGGTCGCCATTGGCTGCCTGACACAGCCATATCCCATAGTTTATCTGGTCCTGTGGTACCGATCCGCCAAGACGGTACTTACCAACGAGACTCAGTTGACTGGTGAGGACTTTCATGCTTCCTTGTCAAGTAGTGATATGAACGCCTGCTTCTGATACAAGGCTGAGTGGACATGGCTCCGCGAGGGCTAAGGTCCCCGGGCATATAAAGTACATGGCCTTACTAGCGCAACCTGGGTGGCCGTCTAGCGAGAGAGAGGAATTTCTCGAAGACCACTTGGTTCAGCTCAACAATAACGATCTGATGTTCCCATCAGACCCACGCAACGCTTCGTAGGCGCCGATGGTTAGACATGGAGTCTCGGGATTACTCCGCAGGCAGCAGTTACGTCTGTGATCCACAAGGTCCGACAGATCGGCTTTCCATACTGCTGATGCAATGTTGGTGCCACTAAAATGTCGGAGGTTGCAAACGCTGTCCTGAGCTTTTTGTCTCAAGGAGCGATTTTTTCTTTTACCAGTTCACTACAGCTGCCTCGATAGACAGACTCATCTACAGCATCGATCGGTTCACCTGCAGGCGCGAGGTTTGAGTTTGATCCCACTCAATCTCGCAGGTGTGAAATGCATACCAAACTGTACAACAATAATTGGGTTATTTAATATAGTTTGCATTCCTAAAGTATGTGATACAAGTAGAGCAATATCATTGGCGTACTACATGTCCGTGGGCGATCATCCTAGGAGTACTTTGATACTCGAGGAGATAACCGAGGTGCTAGAGGCGGGTAAAGAAGACTTATGGAGCACATCGATAACGAAATTGAAGCGAAAGGGTGAAACTACTTAACATAATGAACCTATGAGAAAATTTGCCTCAGATATATGTAAGTGCACGGGAACAGGCATTTAAAGCTCCTTGAGGGAAACAGTATAAAAGGTGCACTCTTAATTGCTGAACACCGCCACAGTTTTTGATAACCAGTGGAGTGAAAAGCAAGAGAAAGACGATCATTGTTGGTCTCTGGAAGGATTAGTGCAGTTTCAACGCCTGTTTCAAAGTGAAAATTTGATCGATACAACCCTGGCCGGCGAGAAAGTCAGTTTGATCCTCACGAATCTGGCCGGAGAGCACCTCGGAAGCTACAACCACTCCACTGATGCCCCTCTGCTTTTTTTAAAAGTCATTTCATCCTCTTTTAATATGAGGACCAGTTTCGAGGTGCCTCATTCTGTTGGTTTTCTTTCCTCACCCCAGATACTTTTGAGTGTAGTCGTTGTGATAGCTACGAGAGGCCCACTACCTTCCTTGAAGAATTCAGGACTTGATCGACCAATATGAACTTTCCTATCACCCGCCATCGATAGAGGGCATCGTTCTTAGTCTGAGAGCTACCGTCTGTCGGAGCGTATGCTGACACATCAAACAAATACCTTTTACTACGTTGAGATGCATTGATTTTGATTGGAACAGTAAACCCAACGCTGCAAAGACGAACGTTCACTTGAACCCACTCCAGTAAGAGGCGTCCAGCCCTGGGGCTGAGCGCACGCCATAGATTACACCATTTATTGTATCAGGATCGTCAGACACTCGAAGAGAAATTGAGAGAAATCTGGGTTCGCCGTTAATATTTTGAGATGCTCGATCGAACTGAGATCTTGTGTGCGTGTTTTGGAGAAACAACATAGGTCGATCGAAAGAGAGAACAATGTCTGAGCAAGAGCTGCTTGTTGCCAGATTTGGCGCGGAGTAGTTTGGTCAGAATCTGCCGTATGAAATGGATCCAGTGAATTTAATAAAGATTATTTCGGTTTATTTTCCTTGACACAAGCTTAAACGTGGATATCTAGACTTAATACACTACTCGTAAGGTTGTTGAATATTCTTCGACAGCCCACGACCGCTTTCGTCCTAACTGAGGCTCATCAGGTAGGCGCATTCCCCGGGTCTCCGTCAAACTTATGTTTTACTTGAACCCGAATTGCACTGTTTTCGTTACAATGCTTTTTAATGTACTACTCATAAGGTTGCTGAAAACTCTTCGACAGCCCACGACCGGTTTCGCCCTTCTTGGGGCCAGCTCATCAGGTAGGCGCAGTTCCCGAGTTTCCTTCAACCTTATGTGCTACTTGAACTACTAAATGATTGACAGCCAGGTGAATCAGAAGGACTTGGGTGAGAGACTTCTGGGGAGGAGTCACTGAACACCCCCACTGGAAGCATTGCAACCACTGGTGTTTCCCTAATGCAAGTAATCGAGTGCCACTTTAAAACGGCGATAGCCCACAGCACTATCCCGTAACACCAGTGGGTACATCTGGAAATGTTTTGTCCTAGCTTTGTCCGACTCACAATGTGGATTTTGGGAAGTGTCACACAAATACAACATGAAACAAAGAAATGGCATTTAGGAAACTGGATAGCGCAATGCAGTAAATTTTCTAATGATTATAGTTGCTTTTACTGCTGGTTTTCCTTTCAGCTTCACAGTAGCTCAGATGGCATGATACAGATTCATCATACTGACACTCTGGAAGAATGGTTTTTATTATTTTTTCGACGTGCATTTTTCTGCGATGGTTAAGATCCGTCTTTTACCTCCAAATATGAATTAAAAATACACATCTCATTAAAAACCGGAGATTATGGACAATTAGTTTTGTAAGACATTTGATGTGTAAACTTGAGGAATTCATTGCTCTGGCGAACCCTCAGGTTGAGAACCAGTGAACAGCATTAGGATGCGCTACGGAGCTGTGAAATATGTGATTCATTCAAAGCGACAAATTTCTAACTATGACGAAAGCCCCTAAAAAAACCCCAAGTGAAGTGAAGTTTTCGGTTTATAAATGGTGGGGATTTTTTCCTCAAGTAAAACAAACTTAGTGTAGAAAGCTGACAAGCACTGCAACGCTGTTTCGACCCCGTTGAAGTGCACCTTACGGCATCCAGATACCGCAATCGTTTTGGTAATATTAAGCAACTTTGCTACTCGTCCAAAAACAGCTGGACGGCTGCATGCTTTATTCATACTTCAAAAACATATAATGCTACTATCTTTGAACCCGGTAGTCTACGTTAATTAATCCAGTGTTCCCCGAGACTCGAGAGACAACTACCTAGACCGATTCTGTTGGTTTTCCCCCTAATTTGTAGACAGTAGGGAGGTAATCCATCCTCAAAACCAATTTTTGCAGGCCCAGATGTGATTCGTATCACTCGTCTAAACGACTGGAAGGTACTTACAAATAAGGTCGAATTTGACACTACTCAAAGAGGGATGTCGGACCTGGTCACAAGCGTCACACCGATCCTCAGGCGAGTACCCAGTCAAATGCTGTTTACGAAAATCCTGCAGGCAAGTATGGTCGCAAGCAAAAACAACAGCCAGATTTGGTTACATCCACCTAAAACCCACGCTGGTCTGTCAAACCTGAACGCTCACATATTTCTGGACATGGTCACAACCATTGGAACTGTGTTAGAGAGCGAAGGTAAATCAACTTTGTAAAACCCATAGGTTTTGCTCGGAAAACTGAAAAAAAAAACAGTCTGTCATAAATCACTGCACTCGGGAAGTTGTGTAAGTCGAGGAAGGCTTTTGTGTCACCATGTGCAGTGGTTTGGTTGTTGCGGTACCACTCGTTGTCCCCCCCCCCCGAAAAAAAAACAAACCATTGTCCCTTCCAAGAACCAGATTTAGACCAAATAAATAACTGTATCAGAGACTTCTACATAATGAGAGCATTAGATTTTTCTCCTATTGATTCCATTTTTATGAACTGCCTAATGAAAAGTTTGGGATTAGTCGAAGTAACTCGCAGTCATGTTTGATTAACCCGTAGAACTGAAGTAGACGGTCTCTAGGTAAGCAGAAGTAATACTCGGAAGTTATTATCGTTTACAAATAATAAAATGAAAGGATGGGATCGATAAACCGACACAGATCAATGCATTGCTGCTCTCAATGCGTAGCTACTTACCTCATCTTTCCAAATCACCGACCAATGAAACAATCAGTCATAAACGTGGATTTTACAGCTGCTGCTACTGATGGTGATGATCTTGCTTGCGATATACCAGCCCCGTAACGAGTTGTACGTCCTTTTTTACCACGAAAAGATTGCTTCCTTGAAAAAGAATCGTCTACACCAGTTGCGCTGTATAGCAAGTGAATCAACAATTCAACGCATATCGAAGCAGGAACTAAATATGGAACGGATATCTCTTGAATTTCTTAAAGGGCTCTTCCAAGAGATGCGCTGCGATTATCCAGAATATGAGCATCTTCAACGCGGTTCGAAATGAAACTGTGTGTGCCCTAGATCGAGACATGTTAAGAGGAGAGGGTCAGTATGGTTCGTCGATTTTGAATAAAGCGCCTTGTTGAGATGTCGTCCGATGAGTTCATGGCATCACGTGACATACGAAACCACAAGATAACTCACAAGTTAAGGTTGTCCATGCCATCTTCTAGCCAGAGGGGCTCGATAGACAGTTTGTCAGACTGCACACCCAGCAGAAATACTGACTAACAAACCTGCAGGTTGAACGAATCATACACTTAACTGAAGTCCAACCATATACACACCCTTTTAGATGGGATGGTTTAGGTGTGTTCTAGCCACATCACAGGAATAGCGCTACTTGGGTCGCTACGTGTGTCACACTCGAACAAGTTGTGTCCCTATTAAGTCAAGGATATAAAGTTATTCCTAATAACGGGAATAGTTACACCTGGTGTGCACTTGCAGAGAACGCCTTTAGTGAACAGGTTGTCAACACAAAAGCATTGCATTTTAGCTTACAAATCATGTGGTATGTCTTTCATTCATATCACATAGAAATTGTAACCACATGGATGCTCAAGGTGACTTTAATTCAGTTCGCATTCTGATCTTTGTTGACAGTAAAAGCAGCGTCAGTGCTGTCACTTTGCTACCGAGAACTACGGCATCGAAGTCTGTGCAATAGATCGTCCTAGGTAGTGGGTGGCTGGGAGTTGATGGATGGATATTTAGCAGAATGTGTCTTGTCTATCTACAACTTTGCATGACAAACATTATTTTAGTAGTCATGTACAACATATGCATATGTCAGTCAACGGGTTGGTGGTGTGAAGAAATTGACATCCGTGCGTCACTGGTGCCAATGGAGTTTAACCTGTTATGCTTAGCAAATGGCAAAATGAATAAAAATCATTGTGTCTTTCCTGAAGGGAATATTGGGCGCCCTCTTGATTCAAACATATCAATGGGAATTGGATGATGATGAGTAATTCAGCCCGATAAAAGTTTCGTTAAGTAGAATCACGGTCAAAGTCCACAGATCCCATAAGCTCGTACAACCACAGAGAACAGTGTCCATCCATGAGCAGTGGTGTTTTGTCTAATTTGTTTGCTCATTGAAAACACATTTTTACTTTGTAATGCTGTTATTATCCCCTTTCGTTGCTGCAGTCGGAACCAAACGAATACGATTACGTCAAGTGGATTAACAGATATCTAGTTAGAGCATCTCCGCCCACAGCCATATCAGACATCAGAGAATCAAATGTGCGCAATGGAGTTGCGCTTGGCCTGTTGCTGGAAATCATAGGTACGCTTCCATTGCATTTGTGTTATTTTTATCGTACTTATTGTTATTTGAGTAGTGTGAAATTTTCATTTTCGCATCTGGAAAGGTTAGAGCGATGACTAGTCCAGCCGTCACCAGAGGAATCGATCGGCTCCACAGCACCCACAAATTAATCCAGTGATTTCCCATTAGCAAACTGACTGAAGCTAATCACGCTGCGTAGTTTTAACTTATTGAGGTCTTTCTTCACAACTAGCAACAGAACGAGGCTCAAACCACCGCCAAAAATTCCGAATTTGGGTCGCAGTGAATGTTGACCGGATCTGTGCATTGTGACAGCTGTAAAACGTGTTTCACTCTGCTCCGTCCTCTATGACCCCCACGCACAACTCTCGATGAAAACCTCTGGGACCAACCAAGCAACCTTCGGTGGAGCTTGAGTTGAAAGTACACTTCGCTAACAGAAGCAACCAATCTAATTTTGTAGGCTTTTTTGCGAGTTTGAATTTTAGACAAAAGCAGATAATTGTGGGGTTTTGGCGACAGTTCATGAACTTTTTCGAGGGGCTCTACACCAAAAATAAGCTTACAATAACGAAAAGGCATTTAGAACAGTCACTGTTGTTTACTATTGACCAGTTAGACGTTGGTAACAGTGTACTGTTTGTGATTAGGATTTCGATGACTGATGTTGAGATGGTGGATCAAAGGAATTTGCGAGTGCCAGTTTGGTCAGCTGGAGGTAGATTTTTGTGTGTCACTGATGCGTGAGATGCCTCACTTTCAGTCTGTATGCTTGATAAGCGGTAAGGTCGAATCAGGTCGGATCGATCGATCTGGTCACAGCATGTAACGGTGTGAATAAATTTCAAGTAGCTTTGCGCATTTGCGTCTCCAATTTGACCAGCTTGCCTTGGAATGAAAATATGGAAGATAAGTTGCTTATTCAGTATTTTTCTCGTTTTTCCCCAAAATCACAGTAGTGTGCTCACTTGGCACTATTGCCTTCCAAATGAGATTCACAACAGAAACGGCGGGAAGTAGGGAATAGCAATAAAATTTCGGCTGTAACACTCTTTCGATGCCTAACTGCGATGCCACCAGGAGGAAGCACGAGGGCTGGAATACTGCCAGATTGCCCGGGCCTAGACAGGGGAAGTCGAGATGCACGGACCTTCCGGTCAGTAAATTCGCGCTCCAACCACTGAGCCATCTCCCCCCAGTTCTTCGTATCTGCTGGCAAACCTGGAAGGCATCATCACTAGAGTGCTATAACGTCAGATATTTCGCGCAATTTTCATGAAGTTATGTCTAAATAATAATTATGTACCTTAAAAAATAGAACACAAATGGTCTTCACGTCGATATGCATGCCCATAAACGTGATCGGTACGTATATTCAGGAAGGAAGGAATGAGGAGAGATTAGGGCGGTGGTTTTCCAAACATGCTGTCGACGGGTATTTTCCGGAGGGGGGGGGGAGGTTAACAATCTCTGGGATTATGGCCATGATTTATTTGTCCTTAAACGTTTTAATAGAAACAATAAATAATTTTATGAATAGGATATTTAGCAGTTCCACCTAGAAATTGGCCTTTGAGGCGAAGCAAATTAAATCGTGATTTAAAGTTGGTTTTCCGAATCGATTAGATTATCTAGAAGGTACAGGACTCCTGGTATACGTTCTCATTCTAGCCAACAACTTCCACATTCCTCAGTTGTTTCAGCTACACGGAGTTGTAGGTTCCAGACAGATTCTACGCCACATTGACTGAACGCGATCGTAGACGATCGAGGTGTCAAGTAAACTTGCACGACTTGCTTAGTAGAACGAGGGTTGTGTCAGAAACACTAAGGATTCACAAACTGTCGAGATAGTAGATCCCCGAATTCTGGCACCAGGGAGACGGAACATAGTGGAAATGCGTAGTCTTTCGAAAGGTGAAATAACCAACTGTTAGGTTTTTCAAATTACCATACACATGGGCGTCACAGATTAAGATAGACACACTGAAAATGTTGAAGACCACTCGAGTATTTAGTCCAAACCACCGATAAACGTAATGCCGCGCAAACAGCTGTTCGTAAGGAATATGTAAATAAACAGTAGAACGAAACACTTATCTGGCCTGAAGATTGAATCTCAAACCTTAAATTGTAGTCAGAGTTCGCTTTTGAACTGGACGCGAACAATTGCATTCGAAGTTAGTGCAGTGATATCTTTCGTGGGGCCAAATTCAAATTTCACGTTGCAGATCAAGACCCCTAAATAGCTGTCTGCCACGCACACGATAGATACCCGCATGAACTTGAGGAAAATCTATTGTGGAAAGTTAAACCTTCTAACCGTGCAATATGTACTCGGTATCCGACCAGGCTATTGTTAGTGAACCCGGTGGCAGCTTCAACTCCGTGTTGAATATGAATGTATCTAAATATCACAAACTGAATCTTGTTTAATATTCGACTGGCAGTTTTAAAATAAGTTTACAACTCCACTTAGGTGTCTGAGCAAGAGGAACTGGAAACTTGGGTACACCGCCCATTTGACGAATCCCCGGGAGGGAGGAAACCGGTATTGGGCCATCAAAGAGTTTTCAAAAAAAACCTTGTGCGTTTTGGGTCAGGATAACAAAACTATGTTTGAAATGTCATAATTTCAGCTACCTGATGATCATACGCTACTAAATTTATGTCAGTTGCAGTATACTCCATGCAGTAATAAAAATCAGAGCATGACATCTATAATCATGAACTCTTACAATAGGCTGGGTCCGCGATATTCTTATAACGCTAGTTGATTTTTTTCTTACTCAAATGAGCAGCCTTATCTTGTTTCATCCATATTGGTAATCACCACCCACATTTCCCACCCCACGAAACACAGTGAGTTTCGAAACAGTGACCTTCAGGTTGATCAGAAAATTATTTTTCCTCTGAGCTAATTGCTGCCCGCTGGTATCAAAACTGATGTCTTCGGCTGCCCTGGTGAAAGACTAGTTCTGTAAGTGAACCATTCAAAGCCTCACGCCAAGTGTGAAACTTAACAGCAGTGCTGGTATCCACGGAGCTTAGATTTCAGGCTATGGCACTTGCAGTTTGTTAAAAAAAACATCAAGAAATTCAGCCTTTGCAATCACACCGCATCCCTTCAATAGATGACTACAAAATGGCTGTTATTGCGACAGACAATGATGAAGGACAATCTGTGGTGCACCTGGTGGTGTGGTCTTCCATGGGGCTTGTTTCAAGTCTATCGTCTGTAGTTCATTATTTTCAAAATATTAGTGAAGTCGACACCACTGTAGCTTCATGTGCTTTGCCAGCACACAAGTTGCTTCGTTTATTTCCAATTGCTGTTTTGAATTCTCCCTCTTCAAATCTGAAAACTGCACGTTGGTGTCAAAAAGTGAATGAAGAATTTTTCTAACAATCCTATATGAAATATCACATAGAAAGGCAATCGGTCTGTTACACGGAGCTATTCCCTGATAATCAAAAATCGATTGAAGTCAACAGAGACCACTGCAAACCAAAGATTCATCCTGTATTGAGACAGTAGATGAATTATTTCACTATTTCATTCATTCAAGTATCATTGCATAGACTTAGTTCAGGTTTGCAGTGAGGATGTTGCAATCAGTAAATTCCAATACCCTTCCCATATCTTTAGGTGGAATAAAATTGAATGGACTACTTCTACAACCAGGTACAAGAGTCGAGAAACTGCACAATGTCCACGAGCTTTTCGCCGTGTTAAGGCGATTGAACGTCCGTTTGGGCAACCTACAGCCCGAAGGTGAGTACAAAGTCTTTCGATTTATTAAAAATATAAAGTCAGAACATAGCGTAATGGAATAGGTTGTTGTAATTCGACGTTTCGGTTGCCGTTGGCAGCCTTTGTCAAGGATTTCTACAATCGATCCGGCCCGGAACTCCTAATCCTTATTTTGAATTGTTTTACTACTCGATCCGTATAAGTAGCGTGGGAAATACGCCTGAAAAATGGGACTCAGCCCAATTCGAGGGAAATTTCCATCAAACTGCGGTGGATACACTTTCGAAGCAAAAGAAGGGTTATGGAAGAACTAAGTAGATGTCACTCGAGTGGGCCTTGAACACGAGAATGTGGTAAATGAATGCAAGCTTTTTTCATCTAAATACGCTCATACCTCCGTATGCAAGCTCTCTGTCACAATGGAAGAACTAAGTAGATGTCACTCGAGTGGGCCTTGAACACGAGAATGTGGTAAATGAATGCAAGCTTTTTTTTATCTAAATACGCTCATTTGCATACCTCCGTACGCAAGCTCTCTGTCACAAGCGAACTGATTTTGCCCATTTGACTGGTGGTGAAAATTCTTACAATCAACAAATAAGTTTGGCGAAGAAGCATTAAACTCCAAACCGCTCAAATATTCCTTCGAATGGCTGAGGGCTAATTCGTAATCGCAAAAAGTGATGCAACAAGACTTGGGAATATTTTCAAATGATGACCATACAAACCCGAAGGACACCTTAGGGGATGCAATCACGAGAAGGTGTATGGCTTTGCCATAATGATCGAAAAATCCAGTCTCGCATTCATTTAAGACACACACTAGCCGGTTATACCATATGGTGTCCTGCAACAGCTGAAAAATAACAGTGACCTGGAACATCTCAGCGGTTCACGCTGAACCCACACACGCCGCCTCGAGTCCGGATGACATACACAACCTTCGATCTATACCGGAAATCTGTTCAGTTATTGGCTGGTACTGTAATTACCAACTTCCGGAATTCCGGCCTAACAGTTAAGAAAGTCAACTTTCGCATAAGGTGGAGAGTTTGCTAAAAAGGCTACGATCGCAACGTGTGTCAAAACGAGGCAGACCTGTTGACGGAATAGAATGGTCTACACGTTTCTGACCCAAACTGGTAGACTTGCTGTCAACGTTGTAATCATCATTATCCCCCTCCTCATCACCATCATTATCATCATCGTCGTCATCATCATCATCAACATCATCATCATCATCATCATCCTCACCATCATCATCATCATCATCATCCTCACCATCATCATCATCATCATCATCCTCACCATCATCATCATCATCATCATCCTCACCATCATCATCATCATCATCATCCTCACCATCATCATCATCATCATCATCCTCACCATCATCATCATCATCATCATCCTCACCATCATCATCATCATCATCATCCTCACCATCATCATCATCATCATCATCCTCACCATCATCATCATCATCATCATCCTCACCATCATCATCATCATCATCATCCTCACCATCATCATCATCATCATCATCCTCACCATCATCATCATCATCATCATCCTCATCATCATCATCATCATCATAATTATCGTCCTCATCATCATGAGCAGCAGCAGCAGTGGCACAGATTAGGTCATTAGCATCGTCGCTGACAACACAACAGCAGTGCTTCATTGCCCTATGACCGGAATTCGTTTAAAAACCTTGGTCCGTTTGAGTAACGCCTAGTAGAGGGTATGCGCTTTGGCACTTTACAATAGGAGTTTCACTTTTTTGGCCTTATCTCTGTTCTAATAGCAGGCCAAACTATCCCTGAGCTAAGTTACTGCTCTCACCGACAGATAAAGTGCTCTTCAAATCCAAAGAGCAGTTGCCTTGCCAAACTCAAAACAGACAACAGTGAAGCCAGCTTTGTTCGTGTAAATGGTACCTCCAACTTGTAGCTGGCTACTCACCATCATTCATGGCTTTCCTCGGCCGAAACTGACACGGATATCCGTTTTCAACTTCATCGTTGCTATTCTTGTCGGTCCATTCGTTACTCTCACGTGACGTGCTTTAACAGACAAACCTCAGCTGTTTGGTGCGGGGGCTGGATTTGAATTAATCGATTTTTGGCATGGGAGAAGGATGCTGTTTGGAAATGATTTATCGCCGGACTGTCCAGCAAATAGGGCGCTGATTGGCAACAGTTTATACGCTGTCAACTCATCGCAGCGAACACTTTGTTAAAGTAGATTTCCTCGCGAGAAATACACTCATTTGCAAATCAATTTGGTTTTCACGGGAGACTCACTTGCGTTTGAATTGCTGCCATAATCAATGTGAAGACTTGACATACACACTCATCTGCATACCAATTTGGTTTTGACAGGAAACTCGCCTGGAACCCAGCTGAATCTCTCGTTTATGATGGTCCCAAAATTAAACGAGGATCCATCTGGGTTCCAGATGAGTCTTCCAGAAAAAAAACCCAAATGGTTATCAATAAGTGTGCAAGTCAAATTTCGTGCAATTTAGGGCAACATGAGGTTAGCAGAAACTCGAATACTACGCTTACCTGGTGAGCTTAAAGAAAGGCGAAATTGGTCGTGGGACGTGAAAGAGATTATCACCAACATTGTGAGTAGTGTGTTAAGTCTATACAATGTAATACAATGCAAAAATTTTCAAGGCCAAAAATGCCTTAAGATGACAGAGGATTTGGAACTCTCCCACAGAAAGAATCCATCTGTTCTAGGAGATTCAAGATGCGTTGGACTGCTCCATTCCATCATCATGTCGATTAGAGAAGGGGATAAAATGTCTCCCTAACGTCAAAGCCGTCCTGCGCCTTCTGTACTGGTTACTGATCAGTTCAACGATAGAAAATTGCTTTTCATCCGATATACTTTTTTTACTTGGAGTGGAATGAATGCTCCATATATTATTATCAAGTGAGACAATGTGCTTCCACATGACGGTGGCTTACTAATCACTGGCTCAGTTATCTTCAATACTTTCACTTCGTACCGTAAGTAAATGCTCCATTCAGATGGGTCACCAAGAATCTAACAATGAGTAGATGAAAGCTTCTATATGATAAAGGATAATTTTGCACCATTTTCAGGCATCTTTTGTGCGGCAGTCGACGAGTAATCTAAACCAGCCACGTAAGACAATGTCATGCAGATAAGTTTTGTCTGGAAAAATAGCCAGTTAGAAACTACTAAGTTTCACCTTGGGACCACAGGCGAACATAACTTGTGCCGCACAGTTGGTTCCCTCTGGGAGCTTCTCCAACTAGATCAAACAGATTAGAAAATCTTGTGACCTAAGGACAGCATGCTTATAACCAATACGGATTTTCCACCCCAAACAATTCCATTAGGAATTCGTCAAAACCGGAACAACTGGGATACTTGAGATTTGCATTAAATAACCCAGAATCTAACCCTGCTGAGGTCATCGTAACTCAGGCTACATTCGCCCATCTATTACAGATGTGATGAGTGGCGATAAAGATACCATTATCCAACTCATCTACGCAATCTCTTCACATTTCACGCGCCCCACACGTGGACGGAGGTCCGTGAGTCCAGGACATCGAATGTTTGATGGTCGAGGAGTAAGTGTGTTTTGGTTCTTCGCATGTGACCCCAGTTTTCTTGCTTTCCAATGACTGTCGGCTGCGATAGCCTTATCCACAAATAATACCATCCGTGGACAATAAGGCTTTCATGGTTGTACGGCAGTGAAGCGTCGGTGTTGAACACTGATGTCAGGCTGTCGATGATGATGATGATGATGACGATGATGATGATGATGATGACGATGATGATGATGATGATGACGATGATGATGATGATGATGACGATGATGATGATGATGATGACGATGATGATGATGATGATGACGATGATGATGATGATGATGGTGATGATGATGATGACTATGATGTGCATCTGGAGACATTTACCAGCCTTGACAAATGGAAGAAGGGAGACAAAAGCAAACCAAGCAAATCACATAGCAAGGTTTGCTGTGAAACACCTGAACACCTTTTTTATTTGTGAAGTTAGTACGACTTTGTTGTTGGTCTGTTCGTTGAACCGTTGATCCAAATTAACTCCGTACTGATGATGTCACCTGGATTGCAGCCCGACGGGCAAAGTCGGTGAACAAACCAACCACCAAGAAGTGCACTCAAACTATCGATATTGCGTAACATCGCATGTAAGACTTATCAAGGTACGATCAGTCGGTGTCCGGTAGGACGGAGTTAAAGCCATCCAAGTGCGTCGGTTCGTGATCTAGGTTGTAGTGAGAAAGATGTGCCCAATTTTTTCCCAGCAGGTTTGGTCATCAGGGAATTGGTGACCTTTGGAACGGCAGAAACGATTACGAATATTTCTTATAGATTGTACCTGGTCACTCGCACTAGTGTGCATCAGTAGTAAATGCATTTTGCTGTCAGAGTAACCCCAAGTGCCATGGAAACAGCAATTGGAATCAGCATTAAAATCATAGGAAAGGGAGCCAAGTAACACAGAATTGGATGTGGAGGGTGTGTAAAATCGAAGTTGAGGACACGAACTGACGATGAGTTACAAGTTAATGACGCTCAAAATGAACCCAAGCTAAATGGGGAAATGGACTGGGGAGGGGAAGTGAGTTGAAGGGACACATAACGGGTCAGATTTTCACCCAGTGTTCGATTCGTCACGGAACTGCCAAGCTCTACACAACTTCTTTCTGTATGCGCGAGTTTGGTGTGAGGCCACAACCTCTACCCAATGCACTAGAGACTCATTCGTTTTTTGTGTTGAGTTGGGACAAATCTTTTGTGCCAGCGCAGTTTGATGATGATTTCCGAAGCTCTCATGGTGGATCCGAATAGCGACCGACTTATGTAAGCCTTCTGTGATGCAAGCTAACAGACGCTTTTCCAAACGTCTTGGTAGATAGATGGGAGGCGTGTTGAGGGTATTTAGAAAGAGTTCGGAAAGAATCCGCGCTTGAAATGAATGTGGCCAAGGTATATTTTAAGCTGAACCTTGCGTTTTACTACACTGAATGACGAAACCTCTCGCCTAAAATACGCCTTTCTGTATGAAGTCAGGCAAAAGTAGGTCAAGTGCTCTCTAACGGCGTTGGTACAGAACAGGTGGTACTGCATTCCGTCTAAGTGCAAGTTAATCACCTGTAACTCTAATATGAAATTCAACGCCTGATACGTTTCATATCCTGCCAGTAACACCGCTGATCTGAATGAAAACCGATACAAACAGCAGTCTGTAGGTTTGAACAGGTGTATCCTTTTGGAGTAAAATCAAATGACATACAACAAAGCGAAACGTTTTATCGACATTGTTATCTTGTCAATAATTCCTTACAATGCTCCAAGCAGAAATCCCAATCTGCTGTTCACTAGCCTCCATCACGTGACTTTCTCGCATAGCTGGTCACCTCACAGCAAACCAAACAATATCTCCTTCCTAATCCCCTCACAGTTTAGCGACACTACGCTTACACGATCACCTCCACGTCACACTCCAATGGGCCGTTTCACGCCAACTTATCGTTGCGATCCTCCTCTGGGTTGTTCTACGACTGACAATCGTCCGCAGAGCGAACACTACACGGAAATAATCAATCCAGTCTATTCACATCAGTTCATCGGTCCAACTGTCTACGATCAACAGTCAGGTCGGACAAGTCCTCGTTCCCGAAGTACCATGACAATGCTCTTCAGTGGACAACGATCCCCAACCGGAATGAGGAGGTGCGCATCGCGAGAAAGGTGAGTTGAACATTCGCACAATCTAGCTTGACAGCTTGATCAGAAAATGGATCGATAAAGCAACATGTGGAGACCTAACAACTTCACCCAACATGGTCTGATTAAGACGAACGTCACTTATGTAGAATTCGTCTTCTGGCAATCACGCACAACTTTATTTATGAAATAGCGTGGGAAGCCCAACACAGTAGTGATCCGTGTGTAAATGTGTGCGAACGTTAAACAACATGTCCTAATCGATAAAACCAAACATTATCACAACGTGGTCAGATGCACAGGCGTTTTAACAATTCAAGACGTGTGGGCGAAACGCGCTACTGTAAGGCTGTGTTCACTTCATTGCAATCTGCCCCTCATTATGACACCGTGTTCTAAAGATGGTGACATAACGAAAAACCAGATTACTTACATAGTTTTAGGTTTAAACTGAAAGCAACCGATGCCAAATGCGAATTTGCTTCAAAAGAGATAAATGGGGTCATCACAAGTAGTGTTATTTGGGTTCCAGTGACACGTGACCTCTCATTTAGTGGATTATAACCTAATTTATACCAGACAATGAACACTCTTTTAATGTCCTCTTGTGGGTAGCCTCTGTTCGTATAGGCGCCTTGTGAGTGGATGCTATAACATTCAGATGATCACCCCTGTAACATTGTATCTAGCCTCGGATAGCTTGTCCGTGGCGGTGGCACTACATGTTGGCAACTGAAGTTTCGTCTTGTAAGTGAAACTACTTCGTGCTGAAAATCTCAGAAGCACTGTAGAGCCGTATCATCCATTTTGGGAATCATCACTAGTGTGGATTGAATCGGAGACTCGAAGCCAGGATCTCTCGCCTGGCAACCTGAACACCTAACCACTTGGCTGAGAGTGATCCATCAGAAGTCTGATTAACTCGTAGTTAGACAGGATATAGCGCCACTCATTCTTCAATCACGGAAATCATATTATATGGTTACGTATTGAATGTCACTTCGAGTGACAATTTCCCAAACTACCGACAGTATAGCGAACTAAACTCATGTGCAACTCTTCTGGGACTGCTCCTACCTGACAAATCATGAACAAAACGAAACCGGTCGTGGGTTGTCGAAGAGTTTTCAGCAACACTACGGGTAATTTATTACATCTGTCGTCAGGATGGTTTAATACCTTGGTTCATTGCTGACAGAACTGCTACATCTTTCGACCGACAGCTTTTCTTTTCCCTTTTAAGTGTACTTCCTCCGCAAGTTCCCTGACCTGATTTGTTTGCTCCTAACAGCGATCGTCAGGGAAATTGCGGGCAGTAGAAGTGCCTCTTCTAAAAAGTCCATAAGAGTTTTTCTCACTGGTTGCGACCCTCATTATGATCGTCCACCCAAAACGTGACCAATCTAAGCGATGCAATGGGAACAATCGGCTGCTATACTATTTACAAAGTAAAACGGAAAAAAACATTGTGGAGTAAAGCATTGAGCTGCAGCGCTCCTTCGGTGCCTTGAAACTACGCAACCGCAAGGCCGAAGTACCGTCAGGCAGCCCAAACATAGAAAGGTGTAATCGAGTAGCTAAGATTGGTTGCGAAGGCTGAAGATTCTGGTCACTAGTCTTGCACCCTGGTAGCTGCGATATTTCTGGTTTGTTCACTGACGAAGACCTTGTTGCTCTAGCATATGCAGTCGATATTGTTCTACCCTTTAAATAGAAGAAAACGCAGGTGTTTATGGATGGGCTGATCAAATTCATTCCGTCCTTTGGTATGCACTTTGCACACACAAAGCGTAAGATCACGCTCCTAGACATGTAGTCACTAAACACACCAAGTACAATGCAGCGAGAGGCATTTGAAGTTGGGAACATATAAAGTCAACGCACACACCTGTAAGGATTTGGTCGCGCTTGTTAATTTGAGACACCTATGGCCTCAAAGCGGTATATCTCTGAATCTCAAGGGGCGTGTGTATCAGGCTACAGTGTGGGCTGTTTTGTTGTATGGCCGTGAGACTTAGCCTGTACGAGCAGCGGAACTTAGAAGTCTTGTGTTGTTCGGCAGCGGTTGTCTCAGGGCAATAGCTCGTGTGGGTTGGTGTCGGAGATTCCTTGCCGAGACAGTTAGAAAGCGAGTTTTTCGTTGCGCAACAAGAACTTATATTAAAGAGTGTGTCCAGCACCAGAAGCTGTTTTGACTGGGCCATGAATTGTGTACACCGAACCATCATTTGGCGAAGAGCGTGCTGTTTTCCATGTGCAATTTGGAGTGGCGGAAGCCGAGGGATGGCCAACCGTTGACCAAGCAGAGGTGCATGAAGGAGATTACGAATCTATCTGCGTAAACAGAAAGAACGTCAGACGCTGCATAACCCGTAGTTACGGTGATGAAACTTCATTGATGACTTTTGTTTCGTGGAATTTTTTGTCGCACCCGACGCCACGTATTCTACACTTTTGAAGAAAAGTAAAGGGACTAGTAAACATACTCGTAACAGTCACCCACGCAAGTGGACTCATTTCTATCGATGTAAACATTCGGATCGTGGTGTGTCTCTTCAAGATGCGCCGGACCGTGTGACAATAATAGAGGATCGTCAGAAAATTGACCTCGAACGGCGGTTTCGTTACATACACCAGACACAGGAGAGATGGAAGGTTCAATCTGCATGTCAGACCTTTTATGGAGTTCCATCCGGTTATTATTAGGCTCCCTGTAAAGAAAATGGGAGTGGTTATTGTCAACAAAAGTTTTACTATGAACCAGGTGGCTTATCTGATCGATAAATTCACAGTCAACTCTTCCATCACAAATTTAACAGCTGCTGTAAAGTGGACAGACCGCTGGAATATAAAAAATAGTATACTCCGAGAGAAGTCTTATTTCTGGAGAAGATAAAATAGCTAAACTGTTGAACCTGTTTTTTTTAGCAAAGGGCTCAATAACTATGCTTTTCAACTGCAAGTCGTCTACATACATTATATGTATACATAAATGTAATAAAAGCCCTAGGGTGAAAAGAAGAGAAAGAGTGGGTGAGGGAGGGAACCTGGTTCTGGCCTATGTCAAGCATTCCGAGGTGCCTACACCTCCAACCACTCAATCAGACAGTCTTGAAAGAAACTGGCAGCACGAACGCCACTGACATCGATTAGCCGCCATTTCTTGCAACGTCTCCAGCCAAGCACAGGCGGGGTCATGGAGACCCCATCCTGGAAGGCGTACAACACCAACAACACCCAAACTCTCCGTGATCTCTCTGACGCCTTTCTGCCAAGTCATGTGCTGTCCACTTCGCGGTTTGCGCCATCCTGAAGAAGATCCAGAGAACAACACTCGTCTCGGTAGACGGTGTTTCGGCATGCGTAGCACATGACCGGGCACGTTCACCGAAGAATGTATCGGGCACCAGAAGCTGCTCTATCCAGACTAACTATTTTGACTACCAAACCAAATGGAGCACTGCCTGCTGTGCCTGGGTGGGAGTGATAAAAGCAGATATGTGGTATAATGGTTTGAAAGAGAGTACAAAATGTCTGGATGCTATCGGTGCGACTCACCTTTCAAGATAAAGACCTCGTGATCTCCATTGCGACCGGCTGGAGATGCTGCAAGTTATTACTACTGATCAATGTCACTGACGTCATTTTTGTCACTCACTACCCGGATTGCCTGAATGAGTGCGTGGAGTTGTAGGCACCTCGGAATGATTGTAGTAAGGTAGCACTGAGTCCCCCCGTTCACCTTTATTCGTTTCTTCACAATAAGGCTTTCAAATAAATCATGGTTGTACGGCAGTGAAGCATCACTCTTAAACACTGATGTCATGCTGCCGATCGCAAATGAGTGGAACAATCCTACTGAGACTTATCCAACCTGCATATAATGCATACATACCGAAAACGTAGCGGATGAAACGAGCTTAATCGTCCAAGGGACTGAGTTCATTGTCAAAACCACCCACAAGTCCTAATATGGATCGTTATAACCAGCAAAAGTGTCTAACTAGAACGAGTGGACACCTACTAGATCGGTACTTGTCGTGTACGGTTTATCTTCTAACAGCTGCTATGTGTGTTATCCATGTTATTTTGCTACAGTAATCCACAAACGGATGCAATCCGGTTAAAGTGGATGACCTAATTTCGACCAGATCTCCTATTAACTTGCGTACAGTGTGATTCACTTGCTGCAGACTCTTTTCAGGCTTAGCTTTAATCCGAGTTGTTAGTGTGATGCTGTTCATTACTTGCAATCAAAAATTTTGATTTCATAAAATTTCAATATCACTTAGTTCCGAATACTATTCTTTGAAATCTCGTTCTCTTCAGCATCTGAATTGAAAACAAACTGAAAGCACAGGATTCGGTTCGAAAGAAGTTTGCGCTAGTAAAACCACATTGACCAGAATGGATGAATTTCTAAATTAGTCTGTAGCAGAATTGCAGTGCGTTTGATTTACGAACTAACTAAAATTAGTGCGCTTCAAAAATTAAGTTATCCGACCAGAGATAAACTGCTATCATTAGGATATCCTGGTGTTCTGTGTTTGCGACTGTCTCCACCACAACAGAAGTTCCTGTACAGTGTTTGCCGAAAACCACTTGTGCGAGTTCTTCGGTACAGTCCACTGTGACAGAAAAGGAGTGAACCGGACACCGGTGTTTGGTAGAGGACAGCGACAGCAAGTCCCTCTACATTGTGGCATGCCTTTGGAGGAATCTCTCTGCGTGCGATCACCTGACAGCAGTCGAACCGTTGCGGAGATACAACAGTTGGGTAGAATTTTACAACAGTCCTGAAGTTCACTCAGTTTCCTGATAGTGATTATAAGGTACATTTAAACCTGAGGGAAAATAATTTGACAAATTTCCCTGGGTACAGAGGATAAAATACCTTAGTGTGAAATCCGGTGATCTACTGTCCTGCCCAAATTCAACAAGGCTGTATCTCACACCTGGCACTACAGTTATCGACAAGGGAAATCATTGAAATTCGCGCTACAATCACACCTGCCACGTGCTGGCTTTGTGCGCATGCCGATTATCGTCGCGTCCGGATGCAAAATATGCAATCAGCTGATTGGTGCGCTTCGCACGATCAATGCCACCCGCCATTGCTTTTCACCTCGTACTGATTGGTCAATCGTACCAAAGCTGTTGCTGTCCCCACTGAGGCTGGCTGGCTTTGTCTTTAGTTTGTGGCAACTTCGCACGCGCCATATCAGCCGCCGCCATCTCGAAGGATGGGTCTTGTGAACAGTCGATCAGCCGTCAGCGAGGATTTACTGACTCCATTCTTCCAAAATGACACAGAACTTACTCGTAATGGAAACATATTGACAAATGCATTGCTTCATCTCGGGTCACGCGATGGATCCGTGAAGGGCGTAAAGTCAGTAAAGTACATCAAAATGCCACGTGACGATGTTGATCAATCAGCTGAAAGTGTGCACATCTCTAATGCCAGTGTTGAGCATCATGCGCGTGATATGACTTCGACACACACAGCAGCAGAACAGTTATCCAAAACCACCTACCCTAGAATGAACGGTGGTTTGGAATACGGGGCCGTACACAGGGATTCTATACCATCTTGTAGCAGGTCACGTGCACACCAGAAGTGTCCCACTGTTTTGATAGAAAGGGTTTGGAGGAGACTGATGCCGTGTCATCGGCGGGGTGATCAAAGTAAGCCGTTACGTTTGCAACGTTCAGACAGGTCAGTCATACCCGTGTGGTATTTATTTCGAAGTTTCTTATGGGAATGTTCTACGATTTCATTACTTCCCCCTCTAGCAAACACTTTCAAATAGTGCTAAAACGTCTCCTTCTTTCCCCACATGATCGATATCCATTGTTTACCGTATCACAGCTGGTTACTCCGCGGGAAAGACACGTTGGTTGTGTCTAGGCGTGACGAACAGCTTTAATGGGTTTCCCAGCAAGTATTCCATCGGGTTTGAGGTCAGTGTGCATAATACTCAATACTTTTTCCCATACTCAGCTGGGAGAGACCACTTGAAAAGTATGAACCAATGTCAACCAATCCAACTCAACTGTGGTCAGAGGGAGACCGAAGGTGTGAAAAGTCAGGAAATCAGCAGCTTTATGATATCAAGATTTTGACGTCACGACTACGTACAAACGAACCGGTGGCGAAGTACCTTCCCACTGCGGGGGTTCCACTTGAGAGGTGGGGAGTAAATGAGCTAACCAGAAGGTGTCTTGTTTCCGGCTCTCAGGAGTTTATTTCCTTGTGGATGGAAAATCGTTTTTTCCACCGTTACTATCTCGACAAGGTGTTATACGCCAAAAGTAATAAGCGGGGGACTGGTTTTTTTTTAAAAAATTTCTTTTCCAAAAAATTTCCAACTATAGGAGATCATATCAAAGTCAGTAAATTTGAGAGATTTGAAAGTTATTCATTTCTCTCTGACCATCCTGGCCTAGGGTACCCTTTGAATGTTTCTTTCAACAATCTTAATTAGATGAGGACATTGTGTGTCACACGCTGACATACAAGTTATGTATACGAAAACCTCACTGCTTGCTTAACACGAATTCACATACACGTACGTTTCGACCTGAAAAGCTCCTATCAATTGGTTGTATTCACTACGCGACATATTACGCCTTTACTGTGTAACAGCGACCGATAACGATGTAGATTTGTAGAACGTGAACTGGAGAAAATAGTTGCTTTGTTGTTTGTTTAAACAGTTAGTTTTCTGCTTAACTGATTGTTTGATCGTGTGGTACTTTTCCCAAGCAAGTTCCCCACTCGTTCACATTTCCTCCTTGGATCTCACATCAATATAAACAGCAGCATTGCAAGGAAAACTCGTGTAAACTACTTGAGAGTCTGGCCAAGGGTCATTGTGCCATTCATGCTTTCTAAAAAGGCACAAACTGTCAGCTCCAAGCTACTCGGATGTATAGAGTCACTTGCAAATGAAAGCGGTATTCACGAAAGACTCAAACGAAGGTCGGCTAAACATACTGCTTACTGAGCAAAGGCCGCCTCGTATTTCATTCGCAGCTGAACGCAAGATATTCGAGTATTTTCTCGAAACAATGCACCATTCATACGTTTTCTGATAAGGTTTCAACAATCCGATAAGCATTTTGGGTTCAGGACAGTTTTCGCCACTACTGTCTTTGTGAATAAATAAATCCATAGTATCCCCAGATCTTTTAGATTGAAAGCCCACTAGTTTGTTTTCCCTGTGTCCAAGAACGCTCTGACCTTATAAGTGGATTGGTCACAGTATATCGAATGGTTTCGCCGCGAAGCTGGGATGACCTACACAAATTGCTACTCACTTAGAGGAAAGACAGATTACCACAATTACCTGAAAAGACATACCAGGACGAATACACTACTGGATTTTTACCAGGTTTTATTCAGTTTTCCGAGCAACTTCCGGGCACTATCACAAATCCTCTTCTGGAAAGGTGATGAACGTGGAAAGCTCCACTGAATGGTAATAAAGTTGAAACTGCAAAGTCGAACGAAATGCACACACATGTTCAACATAAAGCGGCCAATGTTGGGTCTATTGCCAGTTCACATACTCGTAATTATTTTGTGAAACTTAGATCCCATGACCGCATGCTGTAGTCAACCATGGCCCTAGTTTAGTTCGATTTATCAGCTACCAACCAATCGCACCAACCTATCTACGCTACCTGGGCTACCAACATTTTCCTCTATAGAATACCGCAGCTGGGCAATTTACGAGGCATCAGATAGACCCAGTCAAGGCCCCGCTAGAAGCACCCCATTGGTCACGCATGGATGAGAACGTTTGTTTCTTGATCTGCCAATTCGAAACACCTTGTGTCAACTCAACCAACCCATTATGCAACTGACTGCTATAAAGTAAACGAAGTGGTTAACGAATATACACTCATCTGCAAACTAATTTGGTTCTTTCGAGAGACTCACCTGGAACCCAGCTGAATCGAAGTGGTCGTTTATCGCTCCGGAGTTTCAGCGAATAACGAAAAGCTCTAGTTTCCCATTATTACTATCAGTGAAAGGAAGAAGGCCTTCGCTGCGGATTTATTAGAAAATGCCAACTGACCGGTTACAGACTATTGGACAGGGAAGCAAACCTCCAGTTTGCATCTTACTTACAAAAACTGGACACCCATCTTCTCCTGAACGTGTCTTCTTGAACTTTCCTGGAGACTCATTGACTCCAAACATTCCTCGCTCAAATCCAAGCATATATTACAAAGCTACTCCACAAATTTTGCAACAGATATCCCCTTTTTAAAAGACGCAAGGCGAAATTCCACGAACAACACATACTACTCGCGTGCCTCCCCGTCAGTAGTATCGCCGGTACATCAGTAATGGTGTTACCAGTACAGTTGCTACTTATGGGCAAGAAGGCAATGGAAAGCTGTATTTCTTCTCTAAAATGTAGGTATCATAATAAAAAATGCTCACACTTCAAGGCACTTTCAAAGGCTTTCCCCCATGTTGCACAGATGGATATGTTCCCTCTGGTAACCCTCCTCTACTTCTGATTTTTTAACAAAAACTTAAAAAATGATCAGTTGGATTGGCCGACTCGCCGACCATGTTCTGTTGTCCTCCTTGTTGCACCTTTAGCAGTGATGTATCCAGCCTTCCACGTGAGGCCCACCCATCAAGTAAACCTCGGTCTTCCGAAAACTGCCTGGATCGTGTGAGCACACTTCAACCGAGTAATCATCATTCGCATCCGACTTACGGGTCAGTGCACCGTTCACCTGCCCCACACCACTCCAATCTTCAAACCCAACTCCATTCGGAACTGGCACAATACATTGAGTCAATGAATGAGCTGTCCAGTCTAAAGACACAACTCGGAACCATCTCGAGACTGGTACGTACAGTTCAGATTTTGCGCTTTTCTGAGCGGGGTTGGACAAAATAATCTCTATTCGATACGCAGTGCATTTTGAATGTGTGTGCAAACAAGTAGAACCTAAGGTTGACGGAAGTTCGGGGACTGCGCCTACCTGATGGCTCCCAGAAGGGCGAAACCGGTTGTGGGCTGTCGAATAGTTTTCAGCAACCTTGTGGGTAGTTTCTTTTATGCATGCAAACACTTTCTGACCAGTTAGTTTCTTTAGGCTTCACTTCACCCATGAAACAAAGGGCCAGAATTTTTCATTCAGGCTGCACAGCTTTATCGATTCTAGCCCAAACAATGCAGTTATCGGTAGAGTAAACATCTGATAACCTGCTGTTACGTGCAAACAACCGACATTCAGCCATTATCGTTTTCCTCCTGACAGTCACTGCAAGCAACAGTGTCGCGATCCGAAACATTTATCATTGGCCATCTGAATCCTACCTATGCTGTTGCCCTGTTGCATCAACGCGTCCTCAGGTGCCCTGAGGTTTGGTCTGAATAGTTGTCGTTCTCCAGGAACTAACTTGTGGGTAAGGGCTTCGAAATTGACTACAGGCAAACGGTGTGATCGTGGTCGGGTCCCACATTTGTGTCGGTACCGTGTGGTATCCCTCATTTAACGTCTGAGCAAGTTTTAAAAATTCGGACATTAGCAACCTGAGAATTCTCAAACGATTCACCGAACGAATTTTCGTCTCGTATCATCTCGTAGAAAGCTAGTCTCCTGTTTTGAAGCATACAGTGTTGAGTAGAAAGTCACAGGCTTGTTTGCTCAGCTGGACGATTCGGTTACAAACGTTCACAAAATCACATGTGGCTGTTGTGTTTCGAGGAAGTGTTTGTAGCGAAACTGCTCAACTCAGCAAGCAAGTCAGCGACCAAAACTGCTACTTTTCCGCCGAAAATTCCGGTGCACGCAGCTACTACTAACATCATATTAGTAAACCCGTGCTCATCCAGAGTATCTTCGTACAGCACCGCCAGTTGCCAAAAAACGGATTCATCACCCGATTGGTTTTCCACTTCACACTTGAAAGAGGTTCGTTAGGAAAGCTGTTTTATAGGGTGGAACAATATAACCTTCACAGTTCCATTTTTCAGTGGCGGTAACCAAATAGCTCGATACATCGCCATATTTCCAGCTCTACTAGCTCACAAAGAGCCACCTACAGAAACCGCATGATGGGGGTAAGAGATCTACAGGACCTCAAATTCAAGCAAAGGCACTGTAGCCTCATGTGCATGAGTGCTCAATCCAAACGGGCTATGGGAATAGGGAGAACGTCAACGGTTGTATCATTGCAACTATGCATAAAAAACCTAGCCTCCTTGTTATATCACACACACTTCGGCATCAAGTATTGCAAAGTTTCATGAAGTGCATTCTGAACCTATCTGAATGAAATTCATTTCGCCTAGTCACCATCCATTTGGCCGAAATTTGAAACAATTGCGCTTAGCTTTGAACCGTCTGTATTGTTGTTCTAACCCCCCAGGGAAATTCCAGCTGTTTTATTTACTGTAGTCTGAAAAGGCATTAGATTTCACCGGCACGACGAGAGTTTGTATATTTCCGACTATCATAGACGTTTTTTATAGTGATCAGGCCTTCCTAAATTAACGATGCCCATTCTAAGCGTTCTATTTTTGTCATTTACAGTTTCATAGAATCTGGGTTTGCTCATTTTTTGTTACTTCTTCATAAAATATATATTTGCGTAACCCGAACTATACAGCCAGAATCTAACGGTCAAATTGAACGCTTCAGTGAAACGTTTGAACAAGGGTTTATGAAGGCGAAACTGAAAGGAAACATCAAACGGAACTTGTACAGCTTTTTGCGGCCATATCGACTACACCCGGTAATTTGGTACCTAGCCAGCAGTCTACAAGCAAAATGCTCCTAGACAAACACAGATGTTGACCTCGGCAGGTGATGTTGCCTACAAGATGTAGTTTTATGAGAAACCTTCACATAGAGGAAACGTACTATTTGAAGTTAAAGTTTGAGACTTCCGTTTGGACGCCACTTGTCAGTTTAATGCTCATTCGATGGCACTACCCTACATTGTCACCTCACATAATATCACCCATCATTTTTTTATGGAAGACGACAGTGAGACCAAAAACATAGCCAGCCAAACCCCATATCTCTTCAGATGCAACAATCCAGATGCACGCTCCAGGCCACTTATCGAAATGTGTCTTCTCAATCTTTTTTCCAGTTACATGATTGCGTGAAATATTAAAAAAAACGATTTTGTATCGATATGGCTAAGTGGCCACATAACGTATTATATATCCTTTCTACGTTCCGCGTTTCTACAGTCTTCTCCCCAAAATTGTTTCCTTTGTTTTTGTGGTTCATCTACTGCGTTCAACAGTGGATCCAGCACTAAGCCAGAAAACTCGTGCTTTTTTCCTTAGACTGCCTCAGTAACAACTCTGAGACCTGAGGTGTCCCCTTATCATCCAGCAGGACTATCCGCTTTTCACTGCTATGGAAGTTCATTCGTTGTTTTCATGAGTACCGTTCAGCAAGATGTCGAACCCACAGTTAAATGTTCGACCCTCGCATTCACAACGTACGGGAAATCGCCTGCCTCAACAAACGCATGATTTTCTCTTTTGTTCTGTCTAATACCACCGTTCAATTAACTCGTGACGACGCTTGAGTATTATTCAACAGGACTGAGCTGTTGGAACCCGATTATGTAGCTGTCTTGAATTCGGTCCAACTAGTTCCCTTACTTCCACGCAAGTGTACCACACTGCGATAGAAAACAGCCGGGCCTCACCAGAGTGGTTTGTTTCACATGACGAGAATCAATCAGTTGACCATGCATAACGGCAGAGCATCGGCTGTTTTGCTCTTAGAACGATTATTCCCGCATTTGAGGATATAATTCGTTTACTCTTTTTTGGAAAAATGGTACAGTTTTCGGCGTTCTTTTGTGCAACTAAGAAATGTAACAAAACCCATTGACTTACGTTGCTCAATCCTTTAGAAGAGCATTCGAGGAACTGATAAAATGGCGACGGCATAATAATGTGGACTTAAGTGCTCTCCGAGGCTGTGGATTGATGCAAAATTTGGTGCCAGTCCAATTCTGGGCTGTTCGTCCATGCTTCTTTTAGGCTAATGCCACAAAGTAAAAGACAGTCTGGAGTTTGAAACATCCTAGCATCATTCTTGGTGGTGTCAGCCTACAGTTTAGCAAGGATACACCCATCATCACTGAGGCAGAGATGTCGAACTGGCGATTCCTTAAGCCCTCTGTTCTCTGTCAGTTTGAGCGGTTTTACGCAACGTTATTTTCGATAACTTCAAAGTGAAAAGTTTCGGAAATCATCAATCTGAACTGCACAGCAGGCTTGACTGCAAACAACACTGTAGGGGAGGAACAAGCTGAACCTTAACTATGGCTGTGCAATTTTTCATAAAGGAAAATACTCACAAGATTGCTGAAAACACTTCGACAGCCCACAACCGGTTTCGCCCTTCTTGGGGCTCATCAGGTAGGCGCAGTCCCCGAGTTTCCGGCAACCTTTTGTTCTACTTGGCAGTGTAACCTCTGGCGGTTGGTCAAATGGCCGTTGATTTTTGTCTGCTGATCTTGAAAGTTAGTTTGCAAGCAATCTAGGGAATAAAAATCAGTGCGCAGTTAGTTAGGATATCTCCTGGCTGGTAACGGAAAGTCTGCAAGCCAACTACCAAGCATGTCGAACAGATCAGCGGCCACCTGATCAAAACCACCAGTAAGCGCACCTGAGCTACCAATATTCCATCACATCAGCAACATGTCCCTTTGGATTAAACCCATCTTTCTAGGTTTTGATGGCATATGATTAGACACCTAACGAAATGTGTTTTCTTCCATTACTTCGGTCCAGCCAAACATTCAATTACTTATGTATTTGATAGTGTGTATACAAGCTTAGTGAAACACGATGGCGAGGTTCAAACAGAGCACAAAGGACCGAATAAATAGGTCCACGTCAATTAATACTATCAGATTGATAGCTCAGCTCACTTTCGTAAACACGGAATGAATGCTGCAAGCATCAGCTTGTGTACAGCGTTTCGTTCTGTTACCTGAAAACAAACCGTCATGGTGACTGTTTCGTCATGTCCGGTGCTACGGGTAACACAGATGGCCGAGTTTTTTTAAGACTGACAGTGGCGTTGTAATCCCCACGAACAGCAAGGATTCCCCCAGACAAGCGACTGGAAGATTTCGGCCCATTTTATCCTGGGCTTTCAAATAAGTCATGGTTGTGCGGCAGTGAAGCATCGGTGTTGAACACTGACGTCATGCTGTCGATGATGATGATGATCCTGGACTGCTAGATAGCCTTGATTTCACATTCACAAAGCAAATACTGTCTAATTCGAATGATCACGCCCGGACCCCTTTTGACAGAGTTTGTTCTATTCCATACCGGTAGTTGAAACTTCTTTTCACAAGCCGTGGCTTACTGTCATATAGGCAAGAGGGTGTTACCAGTTCCTCTGCCTTCTGCCAGTAGACGGGGCAGAACTGGGAAAGTATTCTGTACAGATTGATTGATTCATCATTATCAGTTCATTGCATCCTTTTCCATATCCTGTTCATCAAAACAGTCACCGTATACACACAGACAACCAGTAAGCCGTTCTCCTCCCCGTTATGCTGATCTAATCCCATCCATTATTTCTAAATTCTCTACTGGTGTATGTGATCCTGTCTCTAACGTGTGTATTGATGTCTGCCTCGCGGTTGGCTTATCCCAGACGTGCCTAGTCAAAATGACCACGCTCCCCAGATCAATACCAATTTACCTACTGGTCTTCAAGCAAACTGCAGCCAGTTGAACGTCGTTGTTAGAGCAGAGTTCCCCTTATTGGCTGTCATAAGCTAACTGTACCTAACCTGCCATCCTGCTCGTGTGACTCACCATAACTGACAGTGTTTCCCTCATACATT